TAACTTATCATAAAATTACTATATCAAAGAAACAATCCGTCATTGCGTTACTTGGATTAGTATATTCTCTTTTAAGCTATATGCCTCCCGACATATCTAAACCGTTTTTTGCTAATTTTAATATTTATTTACTAATGCTAACTTTATATACTTGACATCACCCAATTTATAGTTTGTTAACTGATTCGTGTTCGTTCCAGCTAGTTTGTGTTCCTATCAGCTGTCTTGTTCTCGTCTCATATTAATATGTTTCTAGTAAAGGTAATGAAAAATATAAATATTTATCTATATATAAATAAAATGCTTATCATGATCAGTACAGATATACATTTTTTAATAACGTTCATTCTGCTTAACGTAATATAAAAATAATTGTATACATTAAAATATAAGATGTAATAGAGACACATCCGAATGATTAATTAACTGCAAGTGAAGTGGAGGTATACACTATGTCATACTATCACATCCTTACAGGTCTGAAAGTTAAGTAAAATAAATGTTCTTAAATATGTATATAGGCACAGCTCCTGGTGCTACTATATTAGATACGAAATATTTACTTAAAATATTGAATTATGTCCAGTAATAATTAATATGGATTCCTCGTTATATATTTATTATTAAATATATTCAAATAGATGCATCCGAAGAATTTATCAATACAACTAAAAATTCATCGACTAATAGAAGATCTTTGGAACTACTTAACGAATTTGGCTATGATAGGCTAGATTCATCGGCAAAAAATCAAAATCATTCAACGATAAATGATACATTTCAATCGCTTAATACTAACTGTCCAGATTCCACTCATGGATTCGATTCCAGTTATACTCCGGATATAACTAACCAGTCCAGCATTTTAAATAATTCAACCAATAAACAAGTTTTTACTTACACAACTGAAACTCCACTAAGTGATGTCAGGGATTTGATTATTCAAACTGCGAAAACCCAAAAAAATTGTAAGAAACATTTTTGCTTATTTTGCAATAAGTTGCAAACAAAATTCGCTCGTCACTTGCAGCTTGTTCATAAAAATGAGCCGCAAGTACAAAAATTCATATGCCTGCCGAAAAATGACAAAACTCGGAGATTACTTATTGATGAAATTAGAAAAAATGGTGATTATATCCATAATATCGATGCATCGTTAAATAATGGAACTCTAATCGTGCCCCGTCAAAAGCGAGTTAATTCTAAAAATGAAGTTGTTGATTTCATATGTTGCAAGGGATGTTCTGGATTTTTTCCCAAAAGCACAATACGAAGTCATATTAATAATTGCAAAGGCAGCGATCATAAGAAAGGAACTCGTGACTTGCTTAAACAAGGTCGCTCCAAAACCGGCTTTATGCATAAAAGTGCAAACGACGTTGTGCGCACAAAAATAATGCCTGTTTTAAATGATGATCCAATTTCTCGGAATCTGATATATGATGAATTGATTGTTTTATTCGCAAACGCAGAATCTATGAAGCACGGCGAACTTCAGTACGATATGATCAGAGCAAACATGAGATTGCTAAGCAGACTATTATGTGAAATAAAAAAATCTGAACCCAATGAGATACAGGAACTTAAAGACGCCATTAATCCCAAACATTTGGATTTAATGATATCTTGTATCAGAAAAGTGGCTCAGTGGGACTCTTCTTTGTTGTTTTTTAAAACACCTTCAGTCGCAACGAACCTTACAACTTTAATTAAAAAGTGCGCAAAAATATTATGGACTCATTGCATAAAAACACAAAATCATGAAAAAAAAAAAATAATTAAAGATTTTCTTGTTCTATGGGAAACCGAAATCCCTCTTTTTATAAACAAAAAAGCTATAGAAGATCAGTCAAAGAAAAAGAGAGCTCTACCAACTATCTTACCATGTAAAGAAGACATCAAAAAACTTTTTGATTATGTGATAAAAAAGTCTGAAAATTCTCTTAGTGTGCTGAAAATTAAGTTTGATTTTTTGTCATGGACATCGTTAATACAAAGCACACTAATTGGCCTTCAAATTTTTAACCGCCGTAGAGCTGGTGAAATTGAAAGACTAACAATTGAGAACTATCTAACAGGCCACGCCATCGATGAAAATGTGGATAAAGAAAACTTCGACCGTCTCACGAAAGAAACTAGAGAAATTGCTCAAAAATACACAAGGTTGACTATCCGTGGAAAACTAAATCGAACTGTGCCAGTGCTGCTCACACCGTTTGACAAGTATTGTATTGAAACTATTCTTAAATATCGTAAAAGAGCTGGTGTTAAGAAAAATAATGATTACATATTTAGCGTGCCTAACGCCAAGCCTTTAGCAAAGCAGTATGTACGGGCTTGCCCCATTCTAAAAAGATTTGCCCTGGAGTGTGGGGCTCGCTGCCCAGGGGCCTTAAGGGGAACGATGCTTCGAAAGCATTTAGCTACCTATACATCGATGCTTAACGTCGAAGATGTCCAAATTGATAGGCTTGCCAATTTTATGGGTCATCATAAAGATATACACAAAGAAATCTACAGAATCCCTGTAACAGTAGCGGAGATTGCCGAAGTATCCCAGATGCTTATGGCAGCTCTTGGAAATAATGTTGAGGATGAAAACACAGTAGCCCTTGATCAGTTAAAAGAAAGTGAGTAAATATATTCATCAAGGTTGTGAGTGATACTAAGTGTAGTTATTGTGTAGAATATAATATTTTAACTTATCTAATAATTACTTATCCAATAAGCCCTATTGTCAATGTTTTTACATTATACTTAAAATGTATTTTGCAGATGATCCTTTAGAGGATTCGGAATCAGATTATTCTGAACAGCGATCAGAAAGCGAATTTAATATTTCCGATGATGAAATTGTAGAAAAATCCAATGCAAAAGGAAAGCGTCCAAGTAGTGAGTATTGAATTGCAACCTACATATTTTTGTCACGTGCTTACATGCATTGCGATTAGTCTGTCCTATTTATCCTCATTCGCAAAGTGAAAAAATATATCGTGCTTATTTTGCGGGCCCATTGAAGTTAGAAACTTTGGGCTTGAAATATATACACGTATATATCCACGATAGGTAAAGTGCTACAATTATATAATGACGACCACTGGGGGCGTTGTAAATCCTAAAAATCGTTTTAAATTGCACAATCGCAAATCTTACAGAATCTTAGAGCTTGACTAACTTTTTCATGAATACTATTGATGGACTACTCTGAAGATCGATAAAAATTAGTTTGCCTACGATTGACTGGGTGCGTGGCGAATGTTTAAAATTGATATCACCTAATAAATTGTTCTGGTAGGCTGTATTAATCTGTTATTGGTCTATGATTGAGTATTGCGACGGTTGCAACCGACTGCAAAGTTTTTAATATTTTTCTATATTACTAAAACGTTATTCTTTTTCACACTAAATTGTATTAAACTCTATTATTTAACAGGATCATCATTTGGAAAAACGATAAGAAACCGGTGGTCGAATGAAGAGCGTGAAGAAATATACCAGGCTTTTGGCGACCTGTTGTCGCTTAAAGGATTGCCGTCACTTAATCAATGCAACACAGTTATAAATAATTCTACATATCTAAAATGTAGGACACCGGCGCAAGTAAAAACATGGATAGATAATCAGCGCAAGGCTAAATCAAGGAACTCCGCAAATAGATTAAATAATAAATATGTTGACCATATTTAAAATAAGTGGATTATACTTTTTCGTATATTAATATTAATTTATGTTAAAAAATTTTGGAATTAAAAAAAAATTCATTTTAAATGCATGTATTTAATAACGTCATTTATGTTAATTCACATTATTAATTTTACTTTAACCTAAAGTGATCCAAAACTACATTCAAAATAAATTTGACTCTTAATTTCAATTAAGCCAGTCTGCCACTAAATTTAAAATGTATAAATTTAATAAAATATTGCTGAGTCTTACGTGGTTTAGCGTTATATTTATTTAGTTTAGTGAGTTTTATCGAAATTCACTGTTCCCTAGTCCTCATAACCTCTATATATGAGTCTCTATATTTATATAAAATCAGTATGTTTTTGGGGACAGCTATTTGACTGTTATTTACTAAATTGAAGTGTGAACTGGACCAAATCTCATCGTTCCTGTGTCCTTATAATACACGTTGCTTATGCAAAAAGGTCTGCATATGGCAACCCTGCGTTTTTGTTCCTAAAACTGACCTTATATATAAAGTTCATTATACGGAAAATTTTTATGTTATATACTGAGAGTATTTCGGGAACTGAGTCCTCGTAAAACACGTTACATGGTGTGTACCCAAAATAATGGTTGTATATAAAATTTCTCATAAGTCACGAGGCTATGCTTCTAAGACCGTTAAAATTTCCCAGAGGTTAATTTAGAAGTTCCATCATGATTCCCCAAAGAGAAAACCCCCACTTTTTGGGGTCCCTGAAATCGATGCTCCACATATATATATATATATATATATATATATATCTATATATATATATGTTTATATATATGTATATCGTAAAATTGTGCATGTAGTTAAATTATTTGATGGGCGTAGAATTTGTTGCATATACTATATAAACAAACACACACATAAATATATATATAAATAAATATATATATATATATCTATATATACAGACAAAATATAATTTATATACATACAAAGAATAATCAAATTTCACTCAAATTAGTATATACTATATATGTGTAAACATAATTATAGCAAAGAAAACAAATAAAGAATGTATTTTAGAAATATGCAATTATAAAAAAAAAAAACAAATAAATGAAAAAATAACAATTGCGGTTTTTAACTCTTGCCACAAGCTCTTGCCTGCCTTATCAGCCGCTATCACAGCGCATTTTTGGACACCACAAAATGTGCCCGCTCCTAGCAAAGTTAAGCTTAGCTTGTGGTTTCTTTTGGATAGCAGAGATAGGGCGGCCTATAAAAGGCGTAGTTCGAGCCTAGAGAAGTCACAGTTCTTCAGCAACTGCAACAAGTGCTTGAAGTGCCCAGTTCCATTTATTCAATTGCCCCGTTGACTAACAGCTTGTTAAGTTCTCGCTAAGATGGCCGACAAGAAGAATCTGCTGCTGCTGTTCGAGCACCCGACGGAGCCCGTCTTCATGGACAAGGGCAAGAAGGTGACCGTGTTCGATGTGCCCGACAACTATCTGACCGATCGCTATCGCCCCATCAGCAACGAGGTGCAAAGCCGTGTCGGCGAGAAGGTCGAGCAACGTGTCCCGGTGCGTGAGATTTCCATTCCGGATCTGCGCATACCCATGTCTCTGGGCCGCGACGAGCAGTTCTCGCTGTTCATACCCAAGCATCGACGCATCGCTGGCCGCCTCATCGACATCTTTGTGAACATGCGCAGCGTCGACGATCTGCAGAGCGTAGCGGTCTATGCCCGCGATCGTGTCAATCCGGTCATGTTCAACTATGCGCTGTCCGTGGCGCTGTTGCATCGTCCCGACACCCAGGGCCTGGACCTGCCCTCGTTCGCCCAGACCTTCCCCGATCGCTTTGTTGACTCGCAGGTGTTCCGCGAGCTGCGCGAAGAGTCGTTCGTGGTTCAGCCGGGCTCGCGCATGCCAATTGTCATACCGCGTGACTATACCGCATCCGATTTGGAGCCGGAGCATCGTCTGTGGTACTTCCGTGAGGATCTGGGCATCAATCTGCATCATTGGCATTGGCATTTGGTCTATCCCTTCGAGGCCTCCGACCGCAGCATTGTGGACAAGGATCGCCGCGGCGAGCTCTTCTATTACATGCACGAGCAGGTCTTGGCTCGTTATAACATGGAACGGTTCAGCAACAATCTGGCCCGCGTCCAGCCGTTCAACAATCTGCGCGAGCCCATTGTCGAGGGCTATTTCCCCAAGATGGACTCCCTGGTGGCCAGTCGGGCGTGGCCGCCGCGCTTCGATAACACACGTCTGGGCGATCTGAATCGCGAACAGGATCAGATCAATGTGGAGCTGGGCGACTTGGAGCGCTGGCGCGATCGCATCTTCGAGGCCATCCACCAGGGCTTTGTCCTGGACGTGAGTAGCAATGTGTGAGGCAATTAATTTCGATGGGTTTTCAAATATTCCATTATTACAGGAGCGTGGCCAACGCATGGATTTGGATGAGGCACGCGGCATTGATATACTGGGCAATATTGTGGAGTCCTCTATTCTGTCGCCCAATCGCACCCTGGTGAGCTGACGCGGGAGCACGCGCTCACGGCCAGACTTTAACGTATACCCTGTAATTTCAGTATGGCGATCTGCACAACTTTGGGCACGTTTTCATCTCCTACTCACACGACACAAACAACAAGCACTTGGAATCGTTCGGCGTGATGGGCGACTCCTCGACGGCGATGCGCGATCCGGTCTTTTACAGATGGCACGCCTACATCGATCGCATCTTCCAGGAACACAAGACCCGTCTGCCCGCCTACACGGACACCCAGCTCAACTATTCGGGCATCTCCATAACGGGCGTCCAGGTGGCCGCCAACGGCAGCCAGCCAAATGTGCTGACCACCTTCTGGCAGCAGTCGGATATGGACTTGTCGCGCGGCTTCGATTTCACGCCACGCGGCAATGTCTTCGCCCGTTTCACCCATCTGACCCACTTGCCCTTCACCTACACGATCAATGTGAACAACGACGGAGGCGCCCAGCGCTTTGGCTATGTGCGCATCTTCTTGGCGCCCAAGAATGACGAACGCGGCCAGCCCATGCTGATGCGCGAGCAGCGCCTCATGATGGTCGAGCTGGACAAGTTTGTCGTCTCCCTAAATCCCGGCCCGAATACCATACGCCGTCGCTCCACAGAGTCCAGCGTGACCATACCCTTTGAGCGCACCTTCCGCAATCTGGAGACGAATCGTCCGGCCGCCGGCAGCGCCGAGGAGCTGGAGTTCAATTTCTGCGGCTGTGGCTGGCCAAATCACATGCTTATACCCAAGGGCCTGCCCGAGGGTCTGCGCTGCGATCTCTTTGTCATGGTGTCCAACTATGAGAACGACAGGGTGAGCAATTCTTAGCTGACATTAGCCTGGCTTTAATTAATTTGGCCCCTCTCTTGACACAGATTGATCAGCAGCTGGTGGGCCGCTGCAGCGATGCGGCCAGCTATTGTGGGGTGCGCGATCGTCTCTATCCCGATCGCCAGTCCATGGGCTATCCCTTCGATCGGCTGCCGCGCACTGGCGCCGATCGCCTGGTCAACTTCCTGACGCCCAACATGAGCATTGTCGATGTCAGCATTCGCCACGAGAATCGCACCACCCAACGCCAGGCCTAGTTACAGTTCTCAACTCTGGCTGATGACAATGATGATGACAACGACCTTCGCATAGATATAATCATAATCATATAGTACTTGGCAATAGCCTATATTGCATCTTGATTGAGCTGTTAATAAAACGCATCATGGCATTTAAAGAAAACAATACAAATTCCTATAGAGTCCCATTCATTTCTATACTATAGATCGTGGCCTTAGATTGCGCCTATCAGGCGGCGCTCAAGCTATTGATAGCAGCTCTCTCTCTCTCTCTCTCTATCTCATTCGTTCTCTCTTTCGCTCTTCTGTCATGTGGTCTGCTTATAATCGCGCTGCTGTCGCCACAGTGGCTCAGTTCTGGACGCACCGCCGTGTGGTGCAAAAGTGAAAGCGATTTAAACTAAAGTTCTTCAAGGCGAAAAGATGCGCTACGCGTGTCAAGCTCAGCTGCTGCTGCTGATAGCAGCCATTGGCGTAAGCATAATTAAAAAATAAACACTTAAAAAAAACTAAACCTTGCCGAGATTAACGACTGCGCAATACTCTACTCTGTTTAAAGTAAATTCTTTACCCGAACCTGATTAGCCGAAGACAAGTTCGTAGTTTCCTATAGTAAACCCAAAATATAGATAAACACACACACACTCTGGCAACAGCTGTGCTTCTTCTTGCCTCAGCATCACATTTTAAAAAAATAAAACAAATAGTTGTATACATTTTCTGGCATATACCAAAAATGTACAGCCAAACAGATCATTCTCTCCCTAAGACTCTAAACTCTTACTATTCAAGTAAGTACTTTTTTTGTCAAAGACAAAAAACCAATAACATAAACAAGAACTACTTTCGATATACAAAAGCCTTCCCATTAACCTGCTTAGTTCTGATATTAACCCATTTAAAATCCGCGCACAACGCCTACACACCCTACATTAATATCTGCACAGGGTATGCCTGCGCACAGACAACAATTTATAAAAGCTTTGTGCCATTTGTCTGACCTTAGGTGACAAGAGCTGGCGTCAGCTCGAGCTACGATCGGCAGGCCAAGACGTTCATCGATCAGTCGAGCGAACGCTACTTCAAGCTGTACAATCAGATCGCCTCGGAGACGTACTCGGCGAACAATGAGGAGGACTTCGAGGCGCTCTTCTCGAAGCTGACCAATGTGAAGCGCATTGCCGACGAGCTGGTGGGCATTTCGCGGGAGGCGAGCGGCTTCGATCTGAGCAAAGTTCAGGATGGGGAGCTGAAGCTGGCACTGCAGGAGCTGCGCAAGGTGGGCGATCTGTTTGTGCTGGGCGAGGATTACTTCTCGTCGGTGCAAATGAATCTGGCAGCATTGCAGAAAATGTCAACGGACAAGGACATCGAGCCATATCTGGGCGGCGCCAAGATGCCCAACGAGGACGACAGTCCGTTGGCCTACTATCCTGACATACAGAAGATTGTGCAGCGCAGCAGCGACGTGGACGAGCTGAAGTACTATTGGGAGACGTGGCGCGACAAGAACCAGATCTGGGCCTCTGTCAACTTCTACACCATTGTGCAATCGTACCAGAAGGCGGCCAAGATACTGGAGATACCCGTGCATCAGCTCTGGTATCGCTACGACAGTCAGGAGATGCTGCAGCAAATGGAGCAGGCCATGGCCGAGCTGAGGCCCGCCTATCAACAGCTGCACGCGTTCGTGCGCCACGAGCTGCACAAGAAATACGGCAACGAGGTGGTCAGCGCGAACGGACCCATACCGGATCACCTGTTCCAGCAGGTGCTCGAGCAGGCCTGGGAGGAGGGCAGCATCATTGAAGCCTACTTTCCGCGCAAGGATCTGCCCCAGTACGATGACTTCGTCCAGCAGCTGAGCGCCAAGGCGCTCATCAATGAGTCCGAGAGCTTCTATACCTCGTTGGGCTTTGCGCCGCTCAGCGCCGAGTTCCACAAGAATCAGCTGAAGGAACCCAACGAGGACAGGCCCGACGATGACTGTCGGCCCGCGCTCTTCGATCTAACGCCCCATGTCTATATGATGTACTGCGAGAAGGTCAGCTTCAGGAAGCTGATGCAGTATCACGCCCACATGGCGCGCGTCTACTATGCTGAGCAGAAGAAGCAGCTGCCCTCGTATTACTTTAAGGCGTACAACTTGGAGTATCCCGTGGGTGAGGCTGTCGTGCTATCCGCCTCATCGCCCACACATCTTACGGGGCGTGGCCTGGCCAAAAACGTGCAATTCACGGAGCAGACGCTGATGAATCGACTCTTCAGAATGGTGGGTGGCGGGCAGACAGTTGATGGAGTAACCTCTTAAGACCTTTCTCTCTTCGATCTCTCCTTCAGGGCATTCACACAGTTCTGAACATACCGCTGTACTATGTGCACACCAAGGTGATGCACGATCTGCTGAACGGCACAGTGGACATGGACACTGTCAACAGGCACTATTGGCGCCTCTTGGAGCAGCATGCGGGCATTGAGCCGCCCACGGATCGCACGGAGGGCGCCATAGACTTTCCCTACAAGTTCTATGTGAACATTGAGCAGAATTATCAAACCAAGTAAACGAAAAAGAAAACCATCTATTGCTTAGCTAATTGTGAATTGCTTGCAGAAAATTCATTTCGGAAATTCTGGGCTATCAATTTTATCGTGCGCTGTGCCATCAGGCCAATCATCGCGGTCTGCTGCACAATTGTGACTTCTATGGCAATTTCGCAGTGGGCAACAGCCTCAAGTGGGTCTAAAAAGTAAAGGTAATATTCACTTAGTTAAACTAAAAAACTATTCCTTTATTCAGGGCTATGATGTCGCTGGGGTCAACGAAACCTTGGCGTGAGGTAGTTGGCAAAGTTTTGCCCAAAAATACAGGACTTAGCAGTCTGGCGCTCCTGGAATACTATCAGCCCATCGTGGACTGGCTGAAGACGCACAATAAGCAGACCAAAGTTAAGATTGGCTGGAATGCTACGCAAAAAAGTAAGTTGAAGTTTGTTAAGGCTTCGAATTTGACACTAACATATTGATTTGCCTTGCAGAAGTCGTTTGAGTGCGCTGTTTATGTTATTTACAAACTCAATAAATTTTTTCCTAAAATTCAAATACTATTTTCAAATAATAACAGACAGTTGGCATGCGCTTGGCAGCACTGAAAGCGAGTTAAATGAACTGCGGCAATGAACTACGTGAGCAAGTTCCGATTGCAGCTGTTGTCTCGCTTGCGCCTGGGCAAATGTTCGGCGCAGTGCAGCTGCGTGTGCGCTGAGCGTTAGAGTGAGATAAATATATAGACACGAGGGTGGCGGGCAAACAAAATATTTAAAATGTGAAAAACTCGACTTTGTGCTTAACAAATCGAAAATTATAATTGAAAAGAATACTACTATATATGGGAAAAGTGAAAATAGAAAAATTAAAAATATATTCGAGCCAATTTATTTAAAAGTGGCAACAAAAATATGAAACTAGACAAAATAACTGAATTGTTATTGATATTTGGAAGTTATTTTGTTCAGTCGGATATTTTTGCTATTGTTAAATAAATTGGCTTCAATGTGGGAAATTCTCTTTTTGCAGCCCTGGTCAATAGCAATTGCTGCACTTGCCTAAGAACCATCAACCGCAAGAGATTTGTCCGCTTTGGCAGCATTTTAGCCGCAGCAATATAAATGCTGTTAGCTTTGTCTATGATTAGCTGCTGTATTTCCCAATCGGCTGCCAGTCAGCCGAATAATCTGTTCCGGCCATTTGGCCGCGCAGCTTTCGATGCACTTTACCTTTTGCGTGCTACAAATGACCGCCGACTCAGTTGCCGTGGTGGGCGAGTGGCAGGGACGAGGCAACCTCCAAGCTGCATATGCGTCCGCTAAAGTGTCGCAATGCTTAGTCGCAGCTGTCGCAGTTGAAGCTCATCGAAGCGCAGCTTTGTGCGTGGCACGTTCGCCGCTTGATTGCGTTCATGCAACAACAGACCCAAAAGCCACATCCACATCCGAGACGTCGACGACGTCTGGACTGCATGACAGGCAACATTTTTGTAGCTTGCTCCCCCCCGCACATACCAAGCGGGGATTAGTGTCTGCCCACTTGGCTGGCATTCTGTCAAGCCGGACTTCAGCTTGACGCTTCACTTGCCACACAATGCCTGGCGAAAGGTCAGCGATTCTGGTGCTTGATGGTCATTAGCCAAGTCGCAGCTGCAGCGAACTGTGGCGCAATTGCAGCCGCCATGCCGCAAGGTCGTCCACGTCCATTTATATATGCGTTCAGTGCTTTGAGCTAATCAGCGGGGCGTACCTCAGCCTCTTTCACTACCAATTCGATTTCCAATTGTTTAGTGGGCGGCTTTTCTTAAATTTTTCTCTCTTTCGTGTGCGTGTGTGTGTAAATGATTGCATTGCGTGCCGCCCGCTGCTAATTGCGCCAAATTGCAGTCAGGGGGCAACGCGCACTGAATGGCCATGAAATGAAATTGTTTCCACTACGGCAGCAGCAGCAGCTGCTCCCCAGATTGCCAGACTCGGCTCCAACTTTGACATGGCACGGCTGCCGCAACAGCGAGCGAGCCGGACGTGAACTTCCAAGTTGGAGCTGAAGTTGAGTGAAAGGCACCCACGCCGTCGCCGTCGCCATCGTCAGCGTCAGCGACAGCGCAATCTTTATTCGGCTTGCTGAATGCCTCTTTATGCAAAATACTCGAAATGGCCCACAAACAACAAAAAGGGAAAACAAGTTAAATGAAATTTACATGCGGCTGTCAGCCAATTTGGTTGAACTTTTTTAAATTGCCGCCTGGCCATCAACAAATGCATTAACATTAACCCAAAAATTCGTCTTAACTATCTCATGTATGGCTCGCTCTTGCGCTGTCTCCCTGTCTCCCTCTTCGGGCTCTAGCCCCACCTCGCTCTGCCGCTTTGGCGAATTTTTGTTTACACATTCAACTGGCGCGTTTTAAGCAAATATTTTCTCACTGGTTTCGCACAAAGGAAGCCAAATGAAACGAAACGCGCGCGAACGAGCTAAATAATCCACGAATCTTACAAATGGGCGCAGGCATAGACAATTGTGAAAGGAATTACCATAAAGTTCAGATCATACTTTTATAGAGTGTGGAATAAAGGTTGGAGACAAAAACAGAGAGAGACTGCATAAA